TTTGCCATATGCACAGTTAGGAAACGTACAATGAAATTCTTACTTTGCCGTCCACATGAATGCCACAAAATACAAATGAAATATAAAGTAGATAAATAAGTAACGCAAGGAAGGATGCAGAATTGAGCCAAACCAGCAGGATAACTCTGGTTGGAGAAAGTAAGGGGCTGCACTTGCTCATCCTAACAAGGCTGAGGTGCCCTTTAGCCAGGCTCCAGTGGGGTTGCTTAGTGGGAAACAGATCAGTTTTTTTACTGGGAAGTTTTCAGGTGTGAATGTGTGTAACTGTGCTTGTGAACAGGACTTCCATTAACAAAAGAGAATTGAATATCTCAGCAATGCTTCCCTGTCTAATTCCAATAAGGGTTTAACAAAGCTCTGCACTCAGTATTCTCTGAGTATTCTTGCTGACATGGCTCAGAACATCCTGAGAGCTAGTTAATATGCAGAGTTGGTAACAGAGACGCTGAAGGTTCAAATCCTGTCTGGATATCGAAAAACCTTTTCTTCCTTCTGTAGCACAGGTTCAGAATCCCAGTGTAACAAGAGCTTAAAATAATGAAACACTATATCCTAATTTAACACTACATGCTCCTTCTCTTGCTGACATACTCAGTGTTGTTTGGCTGGTGTTTTTCCATATTAAGAGAGACAGCGCTGCGTAAGTATCTTTATTAATCCTCCTCTAGATAATAGAAATGCAAGTGGCTGTGTAGGGATGACACTGTTTTTATTTGTCTTATTTTTCAACATGTGCTCCATTCGTTTGCTCCCCTCATTTCCACATTTTACTCAGTTTCATTGATAGAAAAAAAAGGAGTGGGTGAAAGGAAACAGACATCCTCCTTCATCTGCCTCTCCTCCCTCGCGATGCTTGCACGGCGCATGTCTAGGAGGAGGGAGGAAATGTAATGGTGCTATTTATAGTAACTGTTGCCGTTTTTATAAAAAAGCATTTATCTGTCTTCTAACCCATTCAACAACTCTTCCTCTAAAAGATAGAAAGCAATTCAACTTTCCTTCGTCTCTGTGCTGTGAATGGCCACTTCCATAACCTCTCAAATCATTTTCTCACCCATCCATTCCTCTGTCCATTCACTCTGATTGCGCCGTTGTTCAGATGCTGTTAGCAGAGGATGTATAATTCATTTCTTCTCCAGAGCAGTGGCACAGCAGTCATGAATTGAGTCGGGGCGAGGGGGAGAGGAGGAAGTGAGGGGAGGGGTGGGGAATAAAGAGGCACTGAGAGGGAGAAATGCTTCGTGCTACGCATCTCAAGTTGGGTTTGTCTAAAACGTGGTCCATTCCTGTAGATTCAGCGTGTGGTTTCAATGTGGCATATGAGGCCTCTGTTTCTGATCAGCAAACCGGGGCCTGTGTACGGTTTTATGAGTTTGAAAAACAAACTTTCAGGGTTTGTTGTTTTCATGAATTCTGCATAACATCACTGTTGTACTGTGGTGGAAGACATTTTCAGATATTTTTTTTACTGAAAAGTGAACTATTATGAGTAAATGTTTTTAAGGTATCATGCAAAAGTACTTAATTATACAGAAAAACATTATAGAACAAATACTAACAATTAGATTCATCATTGATTAACCTGTTAATTTTCTCAGTTCATTGAAATGTAAAAATACTTACCAAAGCCCAAAGTGAAGTCCTTAAAATGTTTTAAATGACCAACAATCCAAATCCAAAAAATATTTCATTTACTATACTATATGATATAAATAAAGAAAGTGTAGCTTGTAAATGGGCTTAAAATAGACACAGCTTGTCTTTTGATCAACTTGATCAGTACAATGGTAGAATTTTGCTACTGTAGCTGGAATAGTGGAGCTTCGTTTACAGTAACTTGTTTATGTACCTTACACAGTATACATTTAAATACAGTAGTGTCGTCATTTAGTTCAGTGGTTCTCAACCTCAGGAATCATACGGGGGGTCATGTGATGATAACTGTAACTACTACAAGTTAACTACTTGAGTAAATGTAAAATGAGTTATCCAACAGAAACATGGTGGCAGCTGTCAGTACTTACTGCCAGTATGTATAACACAACCTCCTGTGCTTCCAGCAAAACCAAAACTAGCATGGAGAAGCTCTTTTTTTTTAAACTGAGGCTGGAACATTTTGGGTGCAACTCTGAGAGGAAGGTGTGATTTAAGGTCATGAAGGGAGCACATTTCTCTGAGAGGTTTGTTTGACTGAAACATATTGAGTTCCCACTCTGTTTCCCAGATGCACAACATGTTGGAGGAGGAGGACAGGACCACCTACAGCAACAATTTGCACTCCTCTTCCTGTTATATTGAATGACAGCGCAGATGTTGCTGTTGTTACTGTCTTGTTTCAATTCATTCTGAACTACATCAGAGTTGTTGCAATTCCTCTGTGACAGTAGACTGAAATAGGTTCCTAATTGTCTGCTTGGGCTTGCTGCTCTGCCAGAAAACAGAATGAAATATATGTCAACTTTTAAATCTCAGCTAATGCCAAAATTTGTCCATCAGGGACAGTTCCTGTAATAACGTGCTTCAAAAGTGTTCGGCTTCACTTAATGTCTGTCTCTGTCTTAATCCATGTAGATGTCAGTGTGCTTTTCTTCCTGACCTTCATTCTATTGTGTTTTTAATTCTGTGCATTCATTCTTTTATACCACAAAAGCAAAGCAGAAAGTGGAGCCTTTGAAAAATGTTGGCTTGACCTTAAATCTGCAGCTGCAGCACAAGTCAAAGAGCCTTCAGGTGTGATGAAAAGTGTCTTTTGGCTCCCATTCCACACCAGTGAGCCAATGGCGTTTTTACAAGTGGGAAGATTGCAAAATGACAGATGGACTATTTCAGTGACACATCACTACTAGCTGTCGCTTCTGTGCCTGCATCGCTGCCCGTTGAGACTAAAATAGTGTCTGAGCCCAACACTTCCTTTGAAAACAAAAGTAGAAATGGAGTACAGTACAAGTTCATAAAAGGTAATACAAGCTGATATGTGACTTTTGCACTTTATCTCTGTGCTCCAGTCTTTAATGTACAGCCTCCACTGTAAAACCTATTCACTCTTACATGAGGACGGTATGAATTTATTCAATGGATTTTGAGCCTGTCTTCAAGTGGTTTGTCTGAGACATGAGCTTGGCTGCCAATTTGTCACAACATGCAAGAGTCTTGCGTTGACTTAGTACTATAAAGCTGTTGAAAGGTTGATCTCTCATCAGGTCCTGTTTTTTTTTTTTGTTTGTTTTTTTATTATAACAAAACACTGAAGATGACATCTGCTGCTGCAGTGATCGGTTTGTGATGGCACAAGGTCGACAGTTTCATCAATGTACAGGAGCAGTTTATAGGACAGCAGCTCTGCCGTTTGAGTCGTACAGGCTTATAACGTGCAAATTAAATTTCCACAAACATATCATATTTAATATGTGTGTATTTTAGATAATATTTATACATGTTGATGTAAACTCAAGCTGTGTCCCAATTTCATAATCGGTGCATTTCTGGGTTTAAATATCTAATGTGTTGACACTAGAAAAGTGACATAACGGTGAAAGATTGTAGCACGCATACATAATTCATTAGATGATTTAATTTAATTTTTTTTTATTTTGTGGTGCTCCAATGCATAGCAGAAATTGAGGAACTGTTAAAAAAACAAATCTGTGGTGTCACACCTCCAGAAATATGCATGCTCAGCATCTATTGTAGCCACATTATGACGACAAGTTAATGGTAAATGTTAAACTCATGGCAATGGCAACAATATGTGTCTAAAGTTTGCTAACGGAGTGTATTAAACTGAGCAAGGGTGTGTTTCATAGCTTGTGCATTTGTAACAATAACGAATGTAGTATGTCTTTTCTAAAAAGTTACATAGTCTTGCTTTGAATTTCCATATTTAAAAGCCTCAATTTATTATTAGTATTCGCTGGTGTATGTTCTACTACACGCTATATGGTATCAATAGGTAGTACTGAATTGAGACAGTATCTACTATGTATCATTATCTGCTCCCATCTAGTGGAATTTATGCAGTATAACATTTACTATGGGATGGCTTGTTGCTAATTCACCTAAGTAAGATGGCCTTTAGTCATTATGGGACACCATTAAACTGCTTTCTTTTAAAAATATTTAACTGACAAGTGTTTATTTAAGCATTACCATAAAGTATAATTGCAATATATTAACTACAACCTGATTAGAATGAACTGATTTAATTTTAGTACAATGTCTCTGGATATACACTATATTTAAATACACAGTGGCTTCAGAAAGAATTCAGCATCCTTCAGTTTTTGCACTTTTTGTGTGTGCATGTATTATCAGTTTAATTTTGAATAGATAAAATTGCCATTTTGTCCAAAAGTGTACACTATATAATAATGACAAAATGAAAACATGCTTTTAGAAATAATTTGCAAATATATTAAAAATCTAACACTGAAATTTATCAGTTCCAAAAGTAGTGTATTTACAAAAGTACTTTGTACTGTAGAAGCCCTTTTGGCAGGCATTATAGCTTTGAGTCTCCTTGGCTATGTTTCTGCACACCTGGGTTTAGGTTGTTTGTCCTGTTCTTCCTGGAGGATCCTCTCCAGCTCTGTCAGATTGGATGCAAGCATTTGTGAACTGCCATCTTCAATTCTTTCCACAAATGTACTCTGGGGTTTAAGTCTAGGCTTTGGCAGAATATCTTTTTTTGTGCATTCAGTTCTTTGAAAGGCTGACATATTTATAAATACTGATTCTATTTTAACATATCTGTGAGCTTTCTTTCACCATAATGAGACATTGACTCATGACCGATATTGACACATGGACAAATTGGCAATCCCATCTAATAAAAATTAAACATACAACATGATAGTGTGCAAGAAAACATTTTTAAGCCACTATGAAGAATGTACTTATTTGTACTTTATGAAAATACACTTGAATGTGCCTTTCTTTTTACTCTTTGCTCATCCAGTTATTTTTACCTTCTCGCCACACAGCTGTTCTGAGCCAGAATGGCATTGACCACCAGATGTGCCCAGAGGATGTGACATCACAGCTGGAGGAAGAGGAGGAGTCTGTGGACGGGGGTGTTGTGCTGCTGGATGACGACAGCCCCAGTTACCAGGATGTCAGCCCCCCAGTGTACCAGCGCCGTTCCCCACCGCATCGCTCTGTCTCTGAGTCTGAGCTGACACGGGTAAGATTTGAGTCTCTTTAGGAAAAACAGATAACCCTGGTGAAACATGGTCCCCTTGAGCACATTCATTTCTGTGTCCCTTTGCTACGGTGCCTTTATGTGATACAACCACTTGAGGGCACCAAAGACTACATATTGAAGAGTATCCTATGAGTTTGACAAGCAGGTGTGCAAGTGAAAGACATCTATTGACAGTGCATTATCACACTTCTAGTCACTTCCTTCAGGATGGCCAAAATGAGATAGTATGTATTAAATTATAATAAGGAAATTCTGTAGCTGAATCTAAGTACCATAGGCAATTTCTTTGAAAATAAGCACCCACAGGTATAAAGTATCCGGCCTCCACAATAATAAAACCAGAGTAGGGGGTGGCATTCATTTGTATTACTTTTCAAGTTTTCAAGCAATTACAGATAAAATTAAATAAGCAAATAATCTTTGCCTTTCAGGTTTCTTTGCACAATGTTTTTTTATTTATTAATAGGTTTATGGCCACTTGGAAACAGCAGAACAGGTTGTAAACAATAAATTTACAAATTATCATGGTGGCTATAAGTTACCATGGCTAATGTGCTCTAACACTGTTAGCAAAGAGTTGCTTATTTACACATTCAGTAGATACAGAACAAAGTTAACATTCATTTGGAATCATGTTTGTGGTCATCTGACCAATGTATTTATTGTGCTTTTGCAGTAACTCTGTTTGGGCCTCTAACAACTGCTGAGGGAACTATCTGTTTTCTTTAGCTGATAATAGTGTAATAAACCCCACCCCAGCCCACCCCCAAATATTGAGCCAACCCTAACTATAAAATTTATTAAAAAGTAAAGTCTTAAGTCTAATCTTAAAGGTAGAGAAGGTGTGTGCCTCTCGAACTGAGACTGGGAGCTGGTTCCACAGGAGAGGAGTAGTAGACATTCTAGCCCAGAGGGTGATGCACCTTCGGTTGGCTTGCAAACCGCCAATAAACATCATCATAAGAAGACAGCACTCTGAGAGCGAAGTGCTTTGTTAGGATGAGTGGGACAGATGATGCACCGTGGGCATTTGTTTCGAGCTATGACTTACGAACTGTCAGCCAGCGACCTGGCTGCTCGGGAAACACCGGGGAGCAGCTAGCTTGGGCTAAGCTACGTCGAGGAGGGCCCGCACCAGCTACATGGGCCGGGATAGCTGGGGTGTTTTCCATGGCTCGGAGCCGCGCTTCAAATTCGGTGAGACTCGCTCCCAATGCTGTTAGCATCTGATATTTATTACAAGTAACATTATCGCTAAAGGAAGCAGAGGAATAAATGAACATGCGACACTCCAAGCAAGAGACTACGCTACTAGCTTAGCTAGATTCTAAGCTAGCTGACCTAAAGTGGCAAGTTAAATTTGGAAATCGGCAAGAAACTCTGTAACACAGCTGCTTAAGTAGTGCAGGGATATGTCGAGACACAAAAGGTTTGCTGATGTTCAGATAAACCTAGAAGTTAGTTAGCTCATTCCATAAACATTCTGGTAGCGAGCACAACATGGAGTAAACAGGAAGTGAATACTGTTACCTCAGGAACAGGAAACGGCAGGAACCCAAAGGGTCACAGATATGACAAACATACCCTTTTTACGCCTTTTTATTTAGTGGAAATACAAAAATGGAAGTAATTACTTAGATCAGAGCGTTTAAAAGATGTCAAAGATGGCGATTTTTTTCACCTGAAATTTTATTTTATAGATAATAAGCAGATTAAAACTATATTTGTAATTGCTAGAGAAATGGGGCTTATCAAAGATGAATAATATGTCATATTAAGTACAATTTCCTTGTCAAAATATTTTTCATGATAAAAACAAATGTCCAGTGTGCACATTGGGGATGAAAAAAGATGCTTCTAGCTTGTTGTTGCAAAAGGAGCACTGTTATTTTATGTTTGGAATGTATTTACAAATAATGGAGTTTAATGAGTAAAATGTATGTACAATTTGTTGGACGACACAAATTTGTAGGGTAGAGTAAAAACAGTGTTCCATATTCTTCCATCGAGAGTCTGGTATGTCCATTTATGTTTAACAGCTGTTGTTGTTCTTGGAGTGAGGGAGTTTTTTTTATAAAGGCATGATAAACATACCTGCTTGTTAGCATTGTCGTTGTTAGCATGTTGACTTTAGCATTTGGCCTCAGAGATCTCCAAGCATGCTTTTGACTCTTAGTCATGTTTTCTCATTAGAGTTTGACAATAAATTCATATTAAGGACCGGGCGGTGGCCTCATTGCTTTTGTAACATTCATAATCAGTGCTGAATTGATTGTGTTTGTGTTCAGATTACAGTATGTCTACAAAAACGTCCTTGTGCTGTAATCTGCAACACACAAAACAAGTCAACCACCCACTTAAGTAATATAATCCGTTATGTTCCACACACCTACCTCTTCAGTACAAACAAAATTTAACGGGAAATAAACAAGGAACGATAAGCTGTTGTTTCAGGCTGCGTTTCAGCTCTTCCTCAATGTTTCTGACAATAGGACCCATCATCAGCAAAGCAGAATAAATACTGTACAGTACTTCCTCTTCAGAAATAGACCGTGATTTGAAAAGAGGGAGGAGATGGGAATCAATGGTCCCGATGCGCACAGTCTCATATTGTCTTTTCTCTGTGTAAAATCTGTGTTAATCAGCTGTCAGACACAGCAGAAAGTCCTTTGTGTAAACCCAGGAGGATGAGCCCTTGACATGCCACACAGACAACCAGGCCTGGGTTCAATTAGTGCAAACACACACACACACACACACACACACAGTGTGGAGATTCTCCGTTCTGTCTTGGCTGTGCTGTAACTGTAATTTAATATGTGATTCTGTGGTAACCAGAACCATACCCCCCCCCCCCAACACACACCCACACATACAGTATCTGTAACATGCTGTCTGTGCTGTGTGGTTCATGCGGGTATCATAATGTAACTTTATATTACTCCATTATCCTGTTTGACGCAGCAGCTGAGTCTAAATTGCATTAGAGACCTGGTGGAAGTACTGTATTAGCTGAAATAATTTAAGTGGCTGAGCTTTCAGTCTCAGTGTGTCTAGAGGTATTTAATAATGAGATTTTCTCTTTGGGAGAAATTCAATAGATCAAGCGCATAAAGACTTTAATTATATAGTATCTGTTCTATCATGCAATGCAGCCATGGGTCAGATAGTATATATTAATACTTAAAGGATCTGAGCTTGGTAATTAAGTGCTAAAAGGGATGTTTGCATAGGTAATATTAACTTCACTGTTAACACAGTGAAACAGCTGCTTCAGTAATGTGACATAATGGCTGAGTAAAAGGGAATATGTCGGCAATGTATAATTTTGAGTTTAACTGAGGAGAACTTAACTTCGGATTTATTTTAAATGATGACTGGTTGATTTAAGACAACCCAAAACTCTGTACATAAACTCTGTAATAAATAGCAATGCTAATACAATACCTGAGTTTGATGCCTTACTTTGGGAAATAAATGTTTTCTACAAATCAGTAGCATGAAAAAATGGTAAAAATTTTAATTTAATAAACAAGATTGCAATGTTTCAAAACACACTGTAATGCCAGCCTTTGGCACTTGGCCACTTTTGGTACTCTCTGCTACAGACACATTTCATTTGACACCAAAAATAGGATTAAGGTTTGATATCCACTCAGCATGCTGGGGGCAAACCCATCATTATGTCAGGATTGCTGACTAATCAGATCGGTTTGTTGTAGGAAAATAAAAAACGCCAAAGTTCATTCATCTGGTTTTCATGTAGAGTTGTTTTAATGATCCCTCAGTAAATGTGAAGACGTAATAAATCCACTTCTTACTGCTTAGCGGTGCAAAAGCATACTGTAGGTCATTTCACTTCATCATATGAGCAGTGCTAATTTTTAAATATTGGATTAAATCTGAATGCTGTGCTTGGCTGGATTTATAATCAAGCCACAGCTTAGCCATAGATTAAACATGAGGCAGAAAACAACCGTTCAGACTCAGTGGAGGGCTATAACATCCACAGCAAATCAGCTCATCTCAGTCATAATCAGCATCAAGCCCAAGGTGAATACATTCCGTTTGGTGTTAACACACCCTGCAATGCTTTATAGGCTCTGCAGAATCCCAAGGTCAGAGAAGGTGAACTGGTCTTGTGTTCTTTCTTTAACGTGCCTGAACAAAGTTGGCATTGCTTGTAAATCCAGTTTCTTTATGAGGACTTATTAATTTATTCAGCACAGTTTCATATTCTCTGTCAGCCATCCACAGCTCTCTGGACTCCTCCCTATCCTGTCCACACACACTCACCACACGCTTATCTCGTTTTTATCCCCATTCCTGTATTTAAGAGATTAATTAATACGGGGAGTTTTCATCTCCTGCCAGCTCTGGCCAAGAGAAATAGAGCGAGGCAGAGAGAAGAGAAAGTGAGAGAGAACGTGCCAGAGCTATTAATTAGCTGTGCAATGGAGACGGGGCAGATGACACAGGGCTCCATGTCTCTAACAGCCATTCACTCAGTCAACATGACACTAATGGCAGTGGCCCTCCTCCTCTTCTCAGCGCTTTTCTGTCCCGTTTACACAGACGTGGCTGCAGTGTTTGGCCGTGACACTAGAGGGTAGTATGTCATAGTGAATCTTTTTTGGGTAATGTAGGCAAGGTCAGTATGTAAAGAAAGGACCACAGTCTAATTTAACTCTGCAGTTTCTGCGGCACTCCTCGAATTCAATCAGAATCACAGTTTCTGTGCAACACTTAGTTGCCAGTTTATTAGGTACACTAAGACTAATGCAGCCTTAAACTGAAATGAGTCTCAGAGGCAATATTGTTCAATCTTAATAATAATAAAATAATAGATGTGTTAAAAGTCCTGCATCCAAAATTTGACTTATGTAAAAGTACACAAGTATTAGCATCAAAATCTACTTAAAGTAGTAAAAGTACTCAATATGCAGAAGGACACATTTCACATGAATGTATGTGATTGG